GTCTGCGCGCGAGATGCGAGCGTGGAGTCTGCGCTCGAGATGCGTGTGTGGAGTCTGAGATGCGTGTGTGGAGTCTGCGGCGCGATGCGAGAATTCAAAGCTCCATTGCGCGCGCGAGAAGGTTTCGCCGGGGGTTTCGGTCGATAGTCACGCCCTACCGCCCTGCGTAGGAGCCCCGGGAGTGCGGCGGGATGCGGTCAGAGCCTTCGCTCAAGGCGAGTTCCCTTCTAGGCCGCCCGTCCTCCGCTAGGAGCGGAGATGGCACGTCCGAGCTCGTCGGCGAATCCATCCCGGCGGACTCACGCGCGGCGAAGGCGCGGCTGAGGCCGGCGCCCGAGCTCGCCAGGACCCGGGCCGCGGCCTCGGTGATGTAGAGCGTGACCTTGCCCGCCATCTTCGCGGGGCGCCCCGGGCCGGCGGCCGAGGCGGCGCGCTCGGTCTTCGTCGGCGCGCGCTTGTCGACAGCCTGGGCCGCCTTCCACCGCGCCTGTGCACGTGTGCCCACCAAGGAAGTCGTCGCCATCTTCGCGCTCATAGCCGGGTGGCTCTTCATGAACGCGGCCGCGACCGCGTTCTGGTTGAAGAAGGTGCTCTACGCCACGACCGGCCTCGCGCTCACCGTCTTCTCCCTCGTGGACTCAGGCTGGCAGCCTGAGAGCAGCGCGCGCAGCGCGAGCTCGCATTGTTGGACCTCGAGTACAAAGCCCTCCCATCGGTCCCCAGCGCCCCTGCTACGCCATTTCCACCGGCGCTGCCTCTGGGCGCGAATCGAGAGGTCTCTAAGCCGGCGCGCGCGCGAGGAACGAGCGGCAAACATTGCAGATGTTGACGCGGTTGAAGCGCTCTGCGAGGTTAAGTCCGCACCAGCGCAGCTCTCGGGAGCCGCACTCACACAGCTCTGATCGCGCAGCAACGATGCGCAAGGACCGCCAGTACGGCATCCTCGTGTGCTGCGCAGGCGTCTTCTGCGTGACGCCCGACGCCGTGCTCATGCGCTGGGCGCAGGCGCTCGACGCGTCCGTCGCCTCCATCCTCTTCTGGAAGTTCACCTTCGTGGCCATCTTCTCCTTCGCCTGGGTGCTCGAGGCGGAGCGCCGCGCCATGGGCGCGACGTCGCTCGGCGCCGTCGTGCGGTCGCTGGCGAAGCGCTGCGCGACGTCGCCGCGCCACTTCCTGGCCGCGACGCTGCTGCAGGCGTCGCTCGACTCGACGTTCTCGCTCGCGCTGCTCCTGACCTACGCGGCGAACGTGCTCATCTACTACTCGCTGAACGTGCTCTGGTCCGCCGTGCTCGGCTACGTCGTGCTCGGCGACGTGCTCCCGCGGCGGACCGTGGCCTGCTGCGTCTTCGCGATCGCGTGCATCGCGCTCGTCTTCGTGTCCCAGCTCGGCGACAGCGACGGCGGCGACCCCTTGGGCGACGCGCTCGCGGTCTTCACGGGGCTCACGCTCTCCGTCTACCTGCTGAACACGCGGCACGCGGCGCGCGCCGCGCCGGACGTGCCCATCGCGCTCGCCGCGGGCTGCGGCTCGTGCCTCGCCGCCGCCGTCGTCGCGCTGAGCACGCTCGCGACGGGCGACGACATACTGGCCTCGCCGAGGCGCACGCCGCTCCTCTTCCTCGTGCTCTGCCTCGACGGCGCGTGCGTCTGCGCGATCTTCATCGGCACGGCCATCGCGCCGCGCTACATCACGGGCGCCGAGTGCGGCCTCTGCTCGCTCATGGAGACGATCCTCGGGCCCCTCTGGGTCTTCCTCGTCTACGGCGAGCTCCCGCCGGACCTCACGCTCGTCGGCGGGTCCCTGCTCGTCGCGTCGCTCGCGGCGCACGAGTACACGTCCGCGCGCGCGGCCGCCGTCGACCCCGTCGTCGAGAAACCGGCGGAGGAGAAGGCCATCGACGCGAGCGTCGTCCGCCCGGAGGATAGTAAGGTGTGACATCCCCTTCAATGACCTGTTCAACTTGAACCTGAAGGGGCTGCTCTCCGAAGATGGCTGCCCACTTCCTGAGAATGCTGGCGATCGCGGGCGTCGCGGACGCGGTCTGGCCGCCGCCGCGCTCCATCTCGCACGCCGGCGATGCGTTGGCCGTCGACGCGCACCAGTTCCGCTTCGAGGAGATTTCGAGGCGACGTGCGAGGACGACGCCGGCGTCCTGACGCGCGCGATGGCTCGCTACGAGGCCATCGTCCGCGCCGCGGCGACGAAAGCGACGGCGTCATCGTCGACGGTCGCCGTCGTGCGCGTCGCCGTGGAGGATTGCGCCGCGGGGCTCGGCGCCGACACGTCCTACGACTACGCAATCGCGAACGCGACCATCTCCGCGGCGTCGGTCTTCGGCGCCGCGCACGGCCTCGAGACCTTCGCGCAGCTCGTCGCCGCGGGCGAGCTCCGCCGCGGCACGGTCGTGCGCGACGGCCCGGCCTTCGCCTGGCGCGGCGCCATGTTGGACTCGGGTCGCCGCTTCTCGCCCGTGGAAGTCGTCGAGGACCTGCTCGACGTCATGGGCGCGGCGAAGATGAGCGTGCTCCACTGGCACCTGTCGGCGCGAACGCGGCGTCGCCCCGGCGCTTTCTATCCCAACCCCGTCGCCCTCGCAGGACTACTGCCGGTGGAGCGTCGCCTCCGAGGCCTACCCCGCGCTCACGGCAAACCTCACGGGCGTCGACGCGGGGTTCTACACGCGCGCGGACGTCGCGGCCGTCGTCGCCTACGCGAAGGACCGGGGCATCCGCGTCGTGCCCGAGTTCGACGCAGCGTCCTGTGACCGTGGCGAGTTTCGAGAGATTCGGGGTGGGAAATCGTCACCGACGTGCTCGGTAGGTTCGACGTCCCCGGCCACACCTACGGCATGCGGTCCCTCGACGGCGAGCTGACGTTCTGCAAGGGCTCGGACTGGACGATCGACGGCGACGCGGCGTCGATCGCCGTCCTGAAGACGCTCGTCGCCGAGATGGCGGCCCTGTTCGACGACGACGTCTTCCACCTCGGCATGGACGAGGTCTCGGAGCCGCCGCCGTGCACGGCCGACGGCACGCGGACGCTGGAGGCCGCGCTCCTCGCGCACGTGGAAGCCCTGGGGAAGACGCCCATGGGCTGGGACCCCGTCGCGGCCGTCGCGAAGCCCGGCGGCGCCGTCGTCGACTCGTGGCTGAGCAACGCGGGCGCGGCGGCCTTCGCGGACAAGGGGTTCGACGTCGTCGACGCGGCGAACGCGCCCTGGTACTTCACGCACCCCGCGGGCTGGGACGCGAGCGCCGCGTGCCGCCCCGGGGGCTGCGCGGGGCCGCCGGGCTGGGCGACGGCGTGGCGCCATCCCGGGGGCGCGTCGAACTCGTCGCGCGTCCTCGGCGGCGAGTTCTCGCTCTGGACCGACGACTACGCGTTCCCCGGCGAGTGCGGCGCGCACGGGGCGGCGGCGGTCCCGGCGAACGCGAGCTGCATGATGGACCGAGCGCTCGACGCGGCCTTCCGCGCGTCGCTCGGCGGCCTCGCGTGGCCGCGGGGGCTCGTCGCCGCCGCGGCGTTCTACGGCTACGACGCCGCGCTCGACGCGGCGTCGCCGAACTTCACGGCCGCGGTCTACGCGTTCAACGACGAGCTCGCGGCCCGCGGCTTCCGCGTCTGCAAGTCCGGGGCCGCCTGCTCCTACGTCTCCGAGGACGACGCGCTCTACCCGGGCATCGTCGACGTCGAGGGCTACAACTGCTCGGCGCAGATCGTCGGCTGACGGCGCGTGCGCCGGCCCGCGGCGGTAAAAAGCTGGTAAGGTGCGCTGCAACATGTTAACAGTCGAAGGTGCCGCCGACTCCCACTGTGCGATGCGCCCGACGTCTTGATCGGATCCACCGCCGCCGCGACGTCTGCCGCCGCTCCGTGCACGTCGTCGCCGCCATCGGGCGCGCCGCAGCGCTGCGCGCGCACGACCGCCGCACGCACGACGCATCGCTTGCGCCACTTCCGCGCCGTAACCGTCATGGCCTCGCTCCTCAAGCTCGTGCGGCGCTACCCGCGGACGAGCGCGACGGCCTTCGCGAGCACGCGCGGGTTCCTCGGCGACGCCATGGCCCAGAAGCTCGAGCACGACGACGGCCGCGGCGACTTCTCCTTCGACGGCAGGCGGAGCGCGACGTACGTCGCCTGGGGTTGCGCGCAGGGCAGGACAAGAGAGATTCAACGTCGCTTCAACGTGAGTGTTCCGCGCGCACGCGTTTCGGAAACAGCACCCACGCTTCGAGAGCGCTCCGAGAGATGATCGCTCGTCCAAAAATCAGCCGAAACGAGCGGAAAACGACCGAGAGAGGAGCCTTTGAAGTTGGGAATTTCGCACCCTTTTCCTGCCCAGGCTGCGCGAGCGCGCTGCTCTACGACTACACGTTCTACAGCGTCCTCTTCCCGCGCTGGTGGCCGACCTTCGTCGGCGGCCAGCTCTCGAAGGTCAACGTCGCCAAGGCCGTGGCCTGCGACTCGTTCGTGCTCACGCCGCTCGCGTACTTCCCCATGTTCTACGTGTTGAAAGATACCTGCGTCGCGGGCACGCACGCGTCGGCGGACGCGCTCCGCCACTACGCCGACGACGTCGTCCCGCAGAACGCCTACTCGCTCGCGTACTGGACGCCCGTGAACGCGGTCATGTTTGGCGCGGTCCGGCCGAGCTACCGCGTCGGCTACACGTCCGTCATGGCGCTGGGCTACATCGGCCTCCTCTCCTGGGTGACCCAGATGCTCGAGGCGCGCCAGAGCCCCGCGCGGCGGGATACGCTCCAGCGCCGCGCGTCCAAGGTCGTCTGACGCGCCGCCGCCTCGCCTCGCCTTCGCCTTCGCTCCGCTTCGCTCCGGACCCGTAAAGACGCTTCGACATACGGAACATGCGGCCTAGGCCGCCGTGGCACGTGGCCTCGCCGGCGCGCGGCCGCGTTGGCCTCGCCGGCCGCGCGAGCTAGGCCGTCTTGGCCTTGCCGCCGCGCGGGAGGCCGGCGCAGGCGACCGCCAAGAACGGGAGGACGTACATGGGCATGGGGTCCGACACGGTGCCGTGGACCGTGACCTCGCGGAAGAACATGGCCGCCTCGAGGGCGTAGCTGCAGGCCGCGAGGGCCGCGAGCGTCGGGTCCGCCGCGCCCCGGAACCCGGCGCCCGCGCGGACGAGGCCGTGGAGCAGGAAGCCCCAGGCGATCTGTCGCAAAGGAATCGACGGCGAGCGCGGCGCCGTCGACGTTATCGAAGAATGCCTTACCGTCGGGGGGCCACGGGAAGCTGGCCGCGAGCTCCGGCACGAAGATGCGCACGGCGCCGAGCGCGATGAGGTCGATGTAGACCTGCGCGCGGCGCGGAAGACATGGCGATGAGTTTCCGGCGTCGCGGCCGTGCGACGCTGATGGAGACGCCATTGAAGACGAGCCAGCAACGCAACAGTCCCGTGCCGACGCCCATGGTCGGGGCAGCCCGCAGAGTGTGCATGTTGGACCTCAAAGGGTAACTAAACTCAAAAACCGAAAAAAGGGCTGCCCCTGGGCGATCTGACCATGACCATGCTCGCCGTCGCGCGCCGGGCCTCGTCGCTTATGCTGCGATCGGCGTCGCGCCGGGCCTCCTGCGGCCGCGGCTTCGCGCCCGGCGAGTTCCGGGCCCGCGTGGCCCGCGCCCGCGAGGCCATGGCGGCCGCCGAGGTCGACGCGCTGTGGTGCTCGAGCGAGGCGGACGTGCGCTACTTCACGGGCGTGGATTCCGAGTTCTGGTACTCGCCGACGCGGCCCGTCTTCGTCGTCGTCCCGCGCGAGGGCCCCGTCGTCGCCGTCGCGCCGGAGATCTGGGCGCCCGCGTTCGCGGCGGCGGCCGTCGACGAGCTGCGGGCGTGGCCCGCGCCGCGCGAGGCCGACGACGGCGTGAGCCTCCTCGTCGAGGCCCTCGCGGGCGTGCCCCGGACCTTTGGTGCGATCGCGCTGCCCATGGGCCTCGAGAGCGCGCCGCGCGCGCCGGTCGCGACCGTCGACGGCGGGGCAGGAAAAGAGCGCGAAATTCCCAACTTCCTATCTCGGCCGTTTTCCACTCGTTTCGGCTGATTTTTGGACGAGCGATCATCTCCCGGAACGGTCTCGAAGCATGGATGCTTTTTCTGGAACGCGCGCGCGCGGAACACTCATGTTGAAGCGAACTTGAATCTCTCTTGTCCCGCCCAGGTCGACGGCGTCCGCGCGGCGCTCGCGGACGAGGGCGTCCGCTATGAGGACGCGTCGCCCTGGCTCCGGGCCCTGCGCGCCCGCAAGTCGCCGGCCGAGGTGCGCAAGCTCGAGGCCGTGGCGGCCATGGGGTCCGCGGGCTTCGCGGCGCTCCCGCGCCGCCTCGAGGCGCTCTACGAGAGGCACGGCTTCGTCACGGAGCGCGACGCGCAGCGCGAGATGCGCCTCGCGCTCCTCGAGGCCGGCGCCGACGCCGTGCCCTACGTCGCGGCGACGGCCGGCGCGCCGAGCTACGCGTCCGTCGTCGCGGCGCCGCGCGACGCGGCGCTCGAGCGCGGGGCCGTGCTCTGCGTCGACGCGGGCGCGCAGTGGGACGGCTACCACTGCGACTTCAACCGCAACTTCGCCGTCGGGGATTTGGACCCGGCGGTCGCGGCCGCGCACGACGCGCTCTGGGCCGCGACGGACGCGGCGGTCGCCGCCGCGGCGCCGGGCGCGACCGTCGGCGACGTCGGCGCCGCGCTCGCGGTCGCCGGCGCGCCGCCGGGCCGGTCGGGCCACTTCCTCGGCCTCGAGCTGACGGAGCTGCCGTCCGTCGCGGCTGGCGAGCGGACACCGCTCGAGGCGGGCCACGTGCTCTGCCTCGAGCCGGGCGCGGCCGTCGGCGGCGGCGCGATCCTCGTCCACGAGGAGACGATCGTCGTCGAGGCCGGCGGCGCCCGGCTCCTGAGCGACCGGGCGCCGCGGACCATGGCGTCCCTCGCCGTCGCCGGGTCCGCGCTCGACGACGCGCTCGCGGCCGCGGACGGCTGGGCCGTGCGCGCGGCCAAGAATCCCCGCCTCCGCGACGAGGGACGCGGCCCCTTCTTCGCCGGCGCCGAGCTCGAGGCGCTCCTCGCGGCCCAGGGCGCCGCGCGGACGCGCGTCGAGGGCTGGGCGAACTACGAGCCGAGCCGCGTGGTCGAAATGCCCGCGGTCGCGCGGGCTCTGGGGGTCGCGCGCGTCGTCGCAAAGGACGAGTCGGACCGCTTCGGCACGGGCTCCTTCAAGGCGCTCGGCGGCGCTCTGGTCGTCGACGAGCTCCGGGAGACGCGCGAGCACCTGTCCGTCGCGACGGCGTCCGCGGGCAACCACGGCCTCGGCGTCGCCTGGGGCGCGAGGAACGCGGGCGCCGAGGCCGTCGTCTACCTGGGGAACCAGGTGTCCGAGGCCATGGCCGACCGCATGCGGGCGCTGGGCGCGTCCGTCGTCCGCGCGGGCGAGTCGTACGAGGCGTCCGTCGCCAAGTGCAAGGCCGACGCGGCCGAGCAGGGCCACGTGATCATCCAGGACGTCGGCGTGCCCGGGGTCTACGAGGACATCCCGCGGACGATCCACGCGGGCTACGGCGTCGTCGCGGCGGAGCTCCTGGAGCAGTGCGCGCCGACGCACGTGCTCGTGAACGCGGGCGTCGGCGGCTTCGCCGCGGGCGTCGCGAACACGGTCCTCGCGACGAAAGCCGCCGCGGGCGAATCGCCGCCGCGGCTGGTCACCGTCGAGCCCGCGGAGGCCGACTGCCTCCGGCGCCTCGCGACGGGCGACCCGGAGCCGACCTCCCGCGGGCCCACGGTGCAGACGGGCCTCGACTGCCACGAGGTCTGCCCCCTGGCCTGGTCCACGCTCGAGACGACCGTGGCCAACTTCCTCGCCGTGCCCGACGCCGCCGTCGAGCCCGCGAAGGCGCTCCTCCGCGCCTACGGCGTCGACGCGGGCGAGAGCGCCGTCGCGAGCCTCGCGGCGCTGCTCAAGGCCGCGAAGGACCCGGCGCTCAAGGCGGACCTCGGCCTCGACGCGGACTCCGTCGTCGCCTTCGTGGTCTGCGAGGGGCCGCCGGGCCGCGCGGACTAGGCGCGCGTCTTAGGAGCCTCCGAGGCCGCGTCCCCCTTGGCCTCGAGGAGCCGCGCGCGGAGCGCGGCGACGGCGCCGTCGACGAGGGGGAGGCCCTTCTTCTTGAGCACCTTGGCGAACATCTCGTGGGCCTTCATGGCCCGCGCGACGTCGCAGCCGGCGTCGCTGTCGAGCGGCGTCGTCACGAGCGCCGGCGCGGCGGCGGCGGCGTCGTCGTCGTGGCAGAACTCGCGCGTCGTGATCGTGGCGTCGAGGCGCGCGCCGCCGCGCGTGCCGCGGAAGGTCACGGCGAGCGTCAGCGCGTACGTAAGGATGCGCCGCCCTTTGCGGACGTTCGAGGCCGCGTCGCCGTCGAGCGTCGCGGACGACACCGCGAGCTCGCCGCCGTTGGCGTCGCGCCAGAGCACGGCGCCCTCCAGCGCCTTGGCGACCTCGGTCCGCGCGAACTCGAGCACGTCGCGCTCCTCCCAGTGGTAGTCGTCCGTGTTCCACCGCGACTGGCTCGCGTGCTCCCGCTTCTCGCTCTCCTCGCGCGCGACGACGGCCGGGTCGAGCTTCTTCGGCGCCTCGCAGAAGATGCCGTCGGCGCGGTAGCGCGGGTCGTGCAGGACCGCGTTCGTCGCGGGCATCGTCGCAAGCGGTTGTGTGCCGCTCGAGCTGCCGGCGAGGATGAAGGTGCTCGATGAAATGTTGAGGTCGACGTCGTCCATGCATGAGCAGCCCGGCGTGATGATGGCGCCCTTGCATCCAGTCAGGTGAGCGCGAAGCGAACGCCACCGGCCAGGTGAGCTCACCAGCCGGACACCATGAGCCGCTTCGCCGGCACGAGCGAGGCGGCGGTCAGGGAGGAGATCGCCGGCGACGTGCGGCGGCTGCTGCAGGCGTCGGGCGTGTCCGGCGCCCGGCCGACGCGCGAGAGCGTCGAGGCGGAGGCGCTGCGGCTCGAGACGGAGCGCATCTGCGCCCGGTTGAAGGCCGAGGCGCGCGAGCGCTGCCGCGGCGTCCAGGCCGAGTACCGGCGGCTCGTCGGCGCGTACTGCTCGCCGCGGCCGGTCGAGTGCAGGGCAGGAAAAGAGAGCGACCCAACTTCAAAGGCTCCTATCTCGGCCGTTTTCCACTCGTTTCGGCTGATCTTTGGACGAGCGATCATCTCTCGGAACGGCCTCGAAGCGTGGATGCTTTTTCCGGAACGCGCGCGCGCGGAACACTCACGTTGAAGCGAAACCTTGAATCTCTCTTTTCCTGCCCAGGTCGAGTGGCCGCGCGTCGCGCGGCCGCGGCTCGAGTGCGCGTTCGTCGAGTTCCGGCCCCTGCCGCACCTCCGCGCGCTCGTCGCGAACGCCATCCTCCGGCTCCGCTGCGACGTGTCCATCGTCTGCGGCCGCGGCAACGCGGACTTGGTCGAGGGCCTCGCGGCGACGATCGGCTACCCCGTGCGCGTCGTGCGCCTCGACGTCGGCGACGTCGACCGCGAGGCCTACAGCGCGCTGCTCGCGTCGCCGGCCTTCTGGCGGAAGCTGCGGGGCGACTGGGTGCTCATCCACCAGGAGGACGCGCTCGTCTTCGACGGGTCGCGCGTCGACGCGATCCTCGCGGGCTGCGAGGCGAACGGCGTCGTCTACCTCGGCGCGCCCTGGCGCGGGCCCCAGGTCCTCGACTGCTGCGTGGGCAACGGCGGCTTCAGCCTGCGGCGGCGCGACGCCATGCGCGAAATCTGCGAGGCCCGCGACATCCGCGACTTCCCCCGCGGCGCGTTCCCCTTCCAGGACCCGGCGGAGCTCCACCCGGAGGACATCTTCTTCGCCTACTGGGTCCGCAAGGACCATCCGCCAAAGTCGCTCGACGCCTGGCTCCGGCTCGCGGTCCTCTTCTCGACGGAGTCCGTCCCCGACGGCGGCGTCGCCCTCGGCGGCCACCAGTTCTGGCTCGCGGACGAGGACGGCTGGCGCGACCGCGCGCACGCGGCGCTCTCGGGGACCCTCGGCCCGCCGCGGCCCCCGGGGGCGCCGCGGCGGCCCTTCGCCCTGCGGTAACTTTATATCGTCGAACTTCAATAACTTCGAAGCATTCCAATCTATCAAAACGAAAGCGCTGCGAGATCGGATCTCTAAACGAAAGTGGAGTCAGGACAACACGCGGTCTCTCCCCGGCCCCGCAGCGCACCGCGCCCAATCGAAGCCCCCCCCCTTGTTTCTCAAACGCGAGGACCTTTCCTGCAGCGTATGCCAGAGCGCGAGGCGTATCCCGCCTGCAGCGTTGTAATTAGCATACCGATGATCGAGCCATCCAGCCCCCGCGTCGCGAAGTGTTTCGAGTCGACTTTTGGGGCTATTCGAGTTTCGAGTACACAGCATACCAGATTATGAACAGCGCGCGGGTCACACACGACCCAAAAAGGCGCGCGGGCGCTAGGCGTTGCGCTGGAGCCACTCGGCGATGTCGCTTCTCATCACCTGGTTCGTGACGAGGTGCTTGTGGGGGAGGGGCTCGCCCGTGACGGGCGACGTGTCGTTGTGCTGCAGCCACTCGGCGATGCAGGCGCGCTCGAACGTGTTGCCGCAGGCCGTGAAGACGGGGTCGCGCATGAGCTCCAGGCCGATGGGGCAGTGCCAGCTGATGGGCGGCGACGACGCGTCGGCGCGCTCGTCGCGCGGCGGCGGCGCCGCGGGCCGCCGTCGCGCGAGCGCCGCGAGGAGGCGGCTCCGCGGGCCCGTGGGGATGCCCATGGAGCACAGGTCCTCCGCCGTGAGCAGGGCGAGGGAGGCGTCGTCGATCTCGTGGTCCGCGAACGTGCCCCGGAAGCGACTCAGGTCCAGCCTGTCGAGGAGCGCGGCGACGCCCGCGTCGTCGAGCCCCGTGTCCGGCGGCGGCGGCGGCGCGGGCGGCGTCGGCTCCGGCTGCTTCGGCGCGTAGCAGGGCGGCTCCGGCTGCTTCGGCGCGTAGCAGGGCGGCGTCGGCTCCGGCTGCTTCGGCGCGTGGCAGGGCGGCGTCGGCTCCGGCTGCTTCGGCGCGTGGCAGGGCGGCGACTGCTTCGGCCGCGGCCGCCGGAGCTCCGGGCTGCCCCGGAACGACCGGCGCCGCGCGGGCGACGCGGGCTGGGGCGAGCCCTGGGAGCCCGCCGCCGCGAAGGGGTTCGCCACGCCTCGCAGGCTCGGCCGCCGCCGCGGCCGCGCGTTCCGCGGCGACAGGGGCGACTGCCTGCCCTTCGGGGACGACGTCACGCTCCCGGGGCTCGCGGACGTCGCGAGGGCCTCGAAGGGGTTGCGCCGCACCTGCACGGGCGGCGGGCGGCGGCAGCGGAGGAGGTCGTCGTCGTCGACGACGGCGGGCCGCGGCGGCGGCGGCGGCGGGAGCGGCGCGGCCGCGGGCGCGTCGTCGGCCTCGGCGACGCTGTCGCTCGTCGTCGCGTCGCTGTTCCCCCGGGGCCGCGCCTTGGGCTTCTTGGCCTTCTTCTTGCCCTTGCGCGGCGCCTCGGCGTCGAGCTCGCTGAGGAGCGCCGCGGCGGCGGCGTCGGCCCTCTCCGCGGCCGCGGCCTCGAGCGCGGCGGCCTCGCGTCTCGCGGCCTCGCGGCGGAGCTTCGCCTCGCGGCGCGAGGCCTCGGGCCTCGGGGCCCGCGCGGCTCCGGCCTCGTCGGCGGGGCTCGGGTCGGCGGCGGGCGGTCCCGCGGGCGCGCCGGCGCCCGCGCGCGGGAGGGCAGCCCGCGCGTCCTCGTCCTCGTCGAGGCCGCTGTAGTCGATTCGGCAGACCTCGGCGTCCTCGACCTCGTCGCAGCGCGCGTGCCGGCTCCGGATGGACCGCATGGGCGCCGCCCCGGCGCGGCGCGCGCGGAACCGTCACGCGCGTATTCGGAAGGAGGGGGATGTGACGCCGCGAACAACAAAGGTTTTGAACACACACGCTGCCCAGATTGGGCTGCAAAGTTGAACCGCAACAAATCTACTCAAACCGTCCGGCAAAGCTCTTTCAAAGGATGGGCAGCTTCTAGTCAGGCTCCGAGCCGCATGATCGCTTGAGGACCATGGCGGCGGAGGCCTCGGACGCGGCGCTGCTCCTGAAGTTCAGCGACGAGCACCTTCACGCCGTCGACGAGGACGACGGTCCCTGCGGGCACTTCCTGCCGCCGCCGACGACGGCGACGCGCGTCAAGAGCGAGGCGCAGCGCGTCAAGGCCGAGGAGCGCGTGCGCTTCGTCGGCGGCGCGCACGCGGCGCTGGAGCGGCTCGAGGACGTGCGCCAGCTGCTGCTCGGCGAGGGCCTGCGCGACGGGCTCGCGGGCCGCGGCCGGCTCGAGGCCGGCGGCGGCGCCGCGCCGTGGCGCCGGGCCCTCGAGGCGCTCGAGGGCCTGCGCGTCACCCTCGCCGCCGCGCGCGCCGTCGAGCCCGAGCCGCGCGTCGTCGAGGAGGCGGCCCTCGAGCGCCGCGGCGCCGCGACGGTGACCAAGGGCGACATGCTCACGCAGGCCAAGGCCACGCAGCGCGCGATGGCGCTGAACCTCATGTTCGAGGAGCTCGCCCGCGAGTCCCTCGGCGAGACGGAGTCCGGCGAGGTCCTGGAGCGCGCCGCGTTCTGCCCGCTGTCGGGCTTCGTCGCCGCGGCGGGCCTCGAGCCGCCGTTCGTCCGCGACGAGGCGCTCGGCGACGACGGCGGCGGCGGCGGCGACGCCGCCGACGGCGGCGACGAGCGCGCCGACGACGCGGCGACGCCCGCGGCCCTCGACGCGCCGTCCTTCGCCGACGACGACGACCACTCCGTGGCGACGGGCGGCCCCGCGGCGCCGCGGTTTCTGACGGCCGCGGGCGAGGCGTCGATCGCGCACGTCGTGGAGAAGGTCTTCGCGGACGACGACGAGGCGGGGCTCGTCGAGTCCCACGAGGCGCTGAAGCTCGTCGTGCGCCGCGTGCAGAAGCGGCTCATGGGCCTCTGGCTCGAGGCCGCGCGGAGCCGCGGCGACGGCCGCGCGTCCGTCGCGCGCGCGATCGAGGTCGTCGCGGAGGCCGTCGGCCGGTCCGCCGGCGAGATGACGGACTGCCTCGCGCGGGCCCTCGCCGCCAAGTACGAGCTCGTCAACGACGCCGGGCCCTTCGCGCACTGGGACCGCGTCACGGACGAGATGCGCTGCGACCACGAGATGGTGCTGAGCCGCGGGGCAGGGAAAGAGAGCGAACTTCCCCAACTTCAAAGGCTCCCGTCTCGGCCGTTTCCCACTCGTTTCGGCTGATTTTTGGACGAGCGATCATCTCTCGGAAGAGTCTCGAAGCGTGGATGCTTTTTCTGGAACGCGGAACACTCACGTTTAAGCGACCTTGAATCACTCTTTTCCCGCCCAGGTGCTGAGCCGCGCGCGCGCGCACGCGATGTGCGTCGAGGCGTCCAACGGCGCCAAGTACGCGCTGGAGCGGCGCCAGGCCGTGGAAGGGCGCCTCTTCGAGCACCGGCGGGCCCACCGGCGCGCGGAGCGGCTGCGGAACAACTTCTTCGAGCTCCGCGACGTCTGCCAGAAGGCCGTCGTGCCGGACATCCGGAAGCTCCAGGCGGAGTACGAGCACATCTACGAGGACCTGACGCGGCGCCACATGGGCGACCTCGACGACGTCACGGAGACCTTCGCCCAGCTGAGGAGCAACGGCTGCTCCGACGACGGCGGGCGGCCCCCGTGCCAGTACGTCGCCGACAACGAGGACCGCGACTCGCTGCCGTACCTCAAGCGCGTGCTCACGGACAGCGTCCACGCGACGAAGCTGATGCTGGGGCCCGCCGTCACGAAGCTCCGCGAGGACGTCGTCGCGTCCCTGGGCCTGAGGCCCGACGAGCTGAGCGTCGACGTGGGCCCGCCGAAGCACCTCGACCGCGCGGTCGAAAAGGCCGCGGAGGACTACGAGCGCGACTACTCGCGGCTCATCGACCTGAGCCGCGCGTCCATCGTCTGCGGCGCGTCGAGCGACGTCCCGGCGGGCGACGCGCCCGCGGGGCCCCGCGCGCCCGCGACGGTGTCGTCCATCGCCGTGTTGGTCGAGGTCGTCCGCGCGGTCGCGCGGCTCCACGAGTCGCACGAGATGCGCGTGCTCCGCTTCAAGAACCGCTTCGCGATCCGCTGCGACCCGCCGGGCGGCTACCGCGACATCCAGCTCGTCGTCAAGTTCCGCGGGCTCAAGCACCTGTGCGAGCTCCAGGTGCACCTGCGGGACTTCAAGGACCTCAAGGACCACGGCGGCCACGCGACCTACGACATGACGCGCCAGATGCACATGTTCGACAAGGAGTTCACCTCCGCGAGCGACCGCTGGGCGCCGGAGGTGCCGGGGCTGCGGGAGCGCGTCGACACGATCTGCCGCCGCATCGAGATGGGCGCGCTGAGTCAGCTCACGCTCGACTACTCGACGCTCGACGAGATGATGGCCCAGCAGCTCGCCATCGCCCTCACGTCCGACTCCTGCCAGCTCTCCGTGCTGAGCCTGCGCAACTGCCAGGTGTCGGACGGCGTCGTCGCGTCCGTCGTCGGCTCGGGCGGCGCCGTGCTCCGCGACGTGCGCCTGGGCTCCGAGGACTTCGTCAACGGCGAGTTCGGCGACGACGGCGTCCACGCCATCACGTCGAGCTGCGCCGAGCTCCACAAGCTCGACCTGGACCGGTGCCGCGCGTCGCCGCGCGCGCTCCGCGCGCTCGGCGGGCTCCGGAGCCTCCGCGTGCTGAGCCTGCGGGACTGCGCCTTCGCGCAGCCGAACCTGGGTTTAGACGACGGCGTCGTCGACGCGCTGACGGCCTGCCCGTTTTTGGCGGAGCTCGACGTGAGCCGGAGCAAGCCGCGCGACCCCGGCGCGGCCGCGCGGTGCGTCGACGCGCTGACGCGTTTGGCGCGGGCCTGCACGCTGCTGCGCGTGCTCGGGGTCACGGGCTGGGGGCTCGGCGACGCCTTCGTGGCCTGCGTCGCCGGGAGCGACGACGCCGAGGACCAGGAGCCCGCGCGGCCGCGGACCGCGCGGCCGCGCGCCGCGGCCGCGCCCGCGGCCGCGCGGCCCCGGAGCGCGCGGCCCTCCGGCGCGGCCGGTGCGCGGCCCGGGCGCCGGAGCCGCGACCGGCGCGCGCCCATCCGGCTCGAGGCCCTGCGCCTCGGCGCGACGGGCGCGGAGTCGCGGAACGCCGCGCTGTCGGTCGCGGGCGTGTCGCGGCTCGTGCGCCGCTACAAGAGCCTCCTGGAGCTGGACCTGACCTGGTGCGCCGTGGAGCCCCGGGCGCTCCGCGAGCTCGCCAAGGCGCGGAGCCTCGCGTCGCTGGACCTGTCGGGGACGCTCGACGCGGCCTGCGACGGCGCGACGCGGCTCCGCTACGCGGGCGACCTGGGGTCGCTGCTGAACCACGGCCACGCGCTCACGTCGCTGTCCCTGCGCCACTGCCCGCTGGGCGTCGACGGCGCCCAGGCCGTCGCGACGGCGTTGAAGAACAACCGGACGCTGCTGGACCTGGACCTCGCGGACGCGGGTTTGGGCGACGACGCGATCGCGCGGCTGAGCGAGGGCCTCGCGCGGAACAAGACGCTCGGCGGGCTGGGCCTCGACGGGAACCGCTTCGAAACCTGCGCGTCGCTCGCGCGGAGCGGCAGCCTCGCGCGCCTCTCCCTGCGGCGCGTGCCGCGCTTCTCCGCGGCGTCCGCGCGCGCGCTCGGCGCGGCGCTCAAGGGCAACGGCGCGCTGCGGACGCTGCGGCTGAGCGCGTTCGCGACGCTCCACGTCCAGGACCTGCGGGGCGACGTCGGCGTCCGCGCGGAGCAGCGCCTCGCGCTCTGCGACAAGCAGCTGAGCAGCCAGGACTACGCCGTCGTGTCGCGCCTGCTCGAGGCGAACAAGAAGCTCACGGCGCTCGACGTGAGTGGCAACGACACGGGCGCGTCCTGGGCCGACGACGTGCGGTCGCTCTTCGACGACGCGGCGGTGGTTCGAACGCTGCAGACCGTCAAGGTCCACGCGCACACGCTCGACGTCAAGAAGATCTGCGGCGGCGAGCACGTCGAGTACGCGCGCGCGGGCCTCGCGCGCATCGACGCGTTCGCCGTCGCGGCGCTGCTCCGGCACAACACGCACATCCGGGTCGTGGACCTGTGCCACAACGGCGTCCAGTCCGACGCCATCGTGGACCTCTGCGACGCGCTGCGCGGGAAGACGAGCCTGAGCTCGCTGCTGGTGGCGGGGAACAACTTCGCGCCGCGGAGGCACGCGCCGCTCTTCGCGCGGTCCGGCGACGACGGCGCCGCGGCGCCGCTCGACGCGTCCTCGCCGCTCTGCGCCGTGACATGCCTCATGGTCGTCGACTCCTGGGCCATCCTGAAGGAGGACACTACCTTCGCCGTGAAGAGCGCGCTCAAGGGGGCCCACACCTTCGAGGACAAGCAGATGCAGCTCCTCTGCGGCGTGCTCTGCACGCACGACCGGCTCCGATCCCTGGCGCTCAAGGGCGCGGAGCTCACGGAGGCCGGCGTGCGCGATTTGGTGGTGGCGCTGGGCCGGAACCGGACGCTGGAGACGCTGGACCTGCGGGAGTCGCTCGCGCCGCCCGCGTCGTCGGAGGCGCACGCGGAGAAGTCGTTTCCCGATCTGGACGACGGCGACCGCGTGGCGTTGAAGTGGCGGTCCCTGGACCGGACCTGGTACGCGCTGGCCCTGGATCTCGGCGCGGCGCTCGAGGGCCACGAGCGCATGGACGCCTGCCACATCTTCCCGCTCTGGACCGTCCGCAAGGAGGAGTTGGGGGGGAGGAGTAGCGCCTTGGCGAAGGCGCTCGCCGCGGACCGGCCGCCGATCCTGGTCAAGTACCTCAAGAGCAACTCCCACGTGCGCCTCGGCGCGCGGCCCCTGGAGCACGCGGGCACGGACACGATCGACGAGCCGCCGCTGTTGCCGCTGGAGGTCGCCGTCGCGTCGCGGCTGCTGCGCGCGAACCGGAGCTTGGTCGCGCTCGACGTGCGGGGCCTGGGGCCCAACGCCGACGTCTGGCTCGACGGCGGCGGCGAGAAGCGCGCGGGCGCCAACGACGTCCTATTCGACGTCGTCGAGAGCCACGCGGCCAAGCTCGAGACGTTCTCGCTCGTGTCGGGCGAGGCGTGGCGCGCGGCGAAGCTCCACACGGTCATCTCCGCGCCGAAGCTCCGCTACCTCGAGCTCCGCCACTGCGGCCTCACGGCCCAGGTCGCCCACATGCTCTTCACGTCCCTCAAGGTGCTGGAGACGTCGGGCAAGGCCGCGCCGCTCGAGGTCGTGTCGCTCGACGAGAACGATTTGGACGACTCGGTGCTGGCGTCGACGAAGCCGCCGGCCATCGGCGACATCGTCGACGTCGACATCGTCCCCGAGGAGCTCGACGCGCTGCGGGCCGCGCTGAAGTTGGATGTCGAGGCGCGCGTGGACGCCAAAGCTCCCCCCAAGCTCGCCGTCGACGTCGCGCTCGGCGAGTCCCAGTCCGCGGCGGCCTTCGAGGACGCCGTGCTCGACGCGCTCTGCGGCCCCGCGGCGGTCCACGGCCTGCCGCCGAACGTGCGCGTCTGGGTCGAGGACGACGTCATGACCGCGGTCGCGTCCGACCTCGGCTTCGAGAATTTGCGCGACGCGGAGGACGACCCGGCGTCGGGCCCCGCGAAGCACGCGCGCGGCGGCGGCCTCAAACGCCAGGAGTCGCGCAAGTGGCAGGGCGCGGCGCTGCCGACGACGCCCCAGCCCGACGACCGCGTCGCGCCGTCCGTCTGCGTCGCCGGGTTATTACTGACGTACGACCGCGGCGACGCGGGCGACCGCGCAGTTTTGGTAGCCCAGGGCCCCAAGGACGAGGCCGATGGCTTCGAGCGCGCCAAGGGGCTGGGGAGCGCCAAGGCCGAGGCCTGGACCGTGCCCCTGCGGCGCGGCCTCGCGCTCGCGGACCCGGCGGACGTGCTCCGGTGGGCGTCGGCGCGGCTCCGGGCGACGCACTTCGACTGCCGCGTCGTCGAGCGCGTCTTCGGCGACGAGGACCACGGCTTCCAATTGGTCGTCGTCGCGACGCCGCCCCATGACGACCCGGAGCGCGACGGCTGGGTTCGGGCCTGCGGCACCGCCATCGACGGCGCGCTCAGCGACGCGCCCTGGGCCGGCGGCGCGGCGGCCGGCGGCGAGCACGTCGACCGGCGGCGCTTCTCCGTGGCCTTCGCGTCCGGCGAGGCCGTCGGGCGCGAGGCGCGGTGGACCCTGGACCTGGCGCCCTGCCACCTGCCGGCGACGGAGCTCGTGGGCTTCGCGGCGCACGAGTTCTCCGAGGGCCACGGCGGCGAGGTCACGTCCGTCGCCGTGTCCGGCGACGGCAACTGGGTCGCGACGGGCTCCTGCGACAAGACCGCGCGCGTCTGGGACGCGGACTCGGGCGCCTGCCTCGCGACGCTCACGGGCCACGGCTCCTTCGTGCGCGGCGTCGCGTTCTCGCCCGACGGGACGCGCGTCGCGACCGCGTCGCAGGACCACACGGCCAAGGTCTGGGACGCGGCGACGGGGTCGTTGCTGCGCACGCTCGAGGGCCACGAGCTCAGCGTCAACGCCGTCGCCTTCTCGCCCGACGGCCACCGGCTCGCGACGGCGTCGCGCGACAAGACGGCCCTCGTCTGGGATTTACGGGACGACGCCGCGCCGCCGGTCGTCCTCGAGGGCCACGACTCGTGCGTCAACGGCTGCGCGTTCGCGCCCGACGGGTCGCGCGTGGCGACGGCGTCCAACGACAAGCGCTGCATCGTCTGGGACGCGGCCACGGGCGAGGAGCTCGAGAGCCTCGAGGGCCACGAGAACTGGGTCGAGGGCTGCGCGTTCTCGCCCGACGGCGCACGCGTCGCGACGGCGTCGCAGGACCACCACGCGCGGGTCTGGGAGGGCGGCGTCTGCGTGATGACCCTGGCGGGCCACGGCAAGCGCGTCAACGGCGTCGCCTTCGCCGGCGACGGGGCGACGCTCGTGACCGCGTCGGACGACGAGACCGCGAAGCGCTGGGACCTCGCGACGGGCGCGTGCCTCGAGACGATGCACCACCGGTCCGAGGTCAACGCCTGCGCCTTCGGGCGCGGCGGGACGCTCGTCGCGACGGCGTGCAACGACCGCACGGCCAAGCTCTGGGACGCCGCGACCGCGGCGCGGACGCGGACGCTCAACGGCTGCGTGCGGACCGCGGTCGCGGAGGACGCGTGCTTCTGCGTCGGCGACGTCGTCGACTGGGACGAGGGCCGCCTCGAGGGCCGCGTCGCCGGAAGACGGAGCGGCGGCGCGTACCGCGTCGCGCGCGGCGACGGCGAGGTCGACGTCGCGGGCGCCGCGCTGCGACTCGTCCGCGCGCGGCCCATCTCCTGCGAGCGCGTCGCGGGGCGCCTCGAGGAGGTCCTCGGCGACGCCTACGCCTGGCGCGTCGCCCGCGTCGACGGCGACGGCGCCGCGGCCGTCGCCGCGCTGCCCGTGGCCGTCGCGCGGCCGAGCCGCCGCGGGACCGTCGTCGGCGTCCGCGCGGGCAAGTTGCACGCGAAGCCCAAATTCGACGTGTCCTACGACGACGGCTCCTTCGAGGCCGCCGTCCCCGCGGCGCGCGTGCGCCTCGAGGACGACGCCGCCGAGGGCTCGCCGCGGCCCGGGCCCTTCGTGGCGCCGCGCGCCGCGGGCAAGGCCATGGCGGCCATCGGCGCGTGGCTCGGCGACTGCGCGACGGTCCGGGCGCTGAGTTTGCGAGATGTGAACCTGTGGACCGTGCGGGGCCCGCTCTGCGAGGGGTTGGCTAGGGCGCGACGGTTGGAGACGCTGGACATCGCGGGCAACCCCTGCTGCGACGAGCGGGTCGCGGGGCCCGGCTCCGCGGCCCTGCAGGCGCCGGCGCTCGCGGGCGCCGTCGCGGACAGCGCGCTGGCCCACCTGAGGCTGGGGGCGCGTTTGATCGACACCCGGTCCCTTCTGCGGGACGCGTCCATCGACCTGACGTCCGACGCGACGTGCTTCGCGCCGCTCGAGCGCGCGGGAGCGCGGGACAAGGGTGCGAACTTCCCAACGTCAAAGGCTCCGATCTCGGTCGATTTCCACTCGTTTCGGCTGATTCTTGGACGAGCGATCATCTCTCGGAACGGTCTCGAAGCATGGATGCGTTTTCTTGGAGCGCGCGCGCGCGAGACACTCACATTGAATCGACCTGCTCCCGCGCAGGTGCGCGGTCGTCGCGGCGCTCGCGTCGCGGAACGACGCGCTCGAGCGGCTGACGGCCCGGGGCTTGTTTCGCGACGACGGGGACACCTTCGCGGCGTTTCTGGGGCACCTGCGGCCCGCGCGGCGCCTGCGGCATCTGGACCTGTCGGGCAACGGGCTGGGCGTCGCGGGCGCAACGCGGCTGCGCGAGTGGCTCTTCGCGCGGCGGTTGCTCGCGGGGAGCCGCGCGCTCGAGAGCCTCGTGCTGCGCGACGACGACCTCGTGCCCCGCGCCGTCGAGCAGGTGCTGCTGGGCGGGCCGCGCGGCAAGCCGCCGCGGTCGCCGCGGCTCGACGCGTTCTCGCTGCCGGAGCCGCACCACCGGAGCCCGCGCGAGGCGTCGCTCCGCGGGTCGCTCCGCGAGGCGTCGCCCGCGGCCCCGGGGAGCCACCACGGGCCCCTGGCGCCGCCGCCGACGGACGCGCCGCGCAAGGCGACGGCGGACTGGCGGCGGAGGGTCGCGCAGCACGCGGCGAACGCGGAACGATGCCTCGGCGCGGTGCTCCAGGCGCCCGCGCGCCACGGGCCCGCCGTCGCCTGGCTCCGGGGCTTGGTCGAGGCCGCGGGCTTCCCCGCGGACCTAGACGACGGCGCCGTGCTCGACGCGGCGCGCGGCTGGCTCGCGGAGGAGCGGCGGCGCGGCGGCGCGGACGGGGCCGCGCGCGACCGCGGCGACGCCGCGGCCGCCGTCGCCCGGGCGGACCGCCAGTTTCAGCTCGCGGCTCAGCTCCGGGTCCACCCCTGCCGCGCGGTCTGGGCCGCCGTGTCGCGCGCGGGCGCGTTCGACGCCGCGACGCAGGCGCGGGTCTGCGCGCGCGTCGCGCAGCACCCCGCCGCGGCCGCGCGCGGCGCCTGGTACTGGCGCGAGGCCGACGCGTCCAAGGTCGGCGACCACCGCGCGCGGCACCCGACGACGTTCCGGGAGCCGGACCTCGTGCCCTACTCGCGCGAGGACACGGCGGCGCTCGAGGCCGCGCGCGGCCGCGGCGACACGTTCCTCGCCCTGAAGACGCGGCGCGTCGACCTGCTCCTCATGGAGGAGCTCGACACGACCCTGCTGACGAAGAAGGCCGTCGCGCGCGTCGCCGAGGCCGCGCCCGACGCCGCCGCGCTGCCCGGCGACGTCGAGGCGACGGGCCTGCCGCGCCTCGAGCTCGACCCGGACGAGATCGTCGAGGTCGAGGAGGTGCGGGGCGCGTGGATGCTCGGCCGCGCCGTCAACACGCCCGCGGGCCGCGAGGCGCACCCGGGCTGGTCGAAGGCGCGCGGCTGGTTTTTGACGAAGAACGCGTTCCGCGTGAACCGGGGCGCGCGCGCGCTCGCGCCGCTCCGGGGCGTCGGCGACGCCGCGGCGCGCGACGGCCTCTTCGTCCTCGCCCAGCTCGCGGCGAGCCTCCACGTCGTCGCCCACGACTCGGGCGACGCGCGGGGCCCGCTCGAGGCCGCGCGCCTCGACGTATCGCGCAACGGCATCGTCCAGGAGCACAAGCCCGGCGCGTCCCTGCGGCGCAACGCGGACCTCGACGTCAAGCCGTCGGGCGCGCCGGGGTCCTTCGCCCACGTTTTAGCGTCCTGGATCGCGGAGCGGCGGACGCCCGTCGTCGCGCTCGAGGTCCGCGGCACGTGCAAGGACCTGAGCCAGCGGGGCGCGACGCTTTTAGGCGCGAGCCTCAAAGGGCGCGCGGCGTCCCTGCGGCGCTTCGACGTCCTGGACCGGCGGAGCGACCTGCCGCGGCACGTGCTCGACGCGCTCCTCGACGCCGCGGCGCTGCCGGACGGCGTGCTCGCGACGCTCTTCGCGGGGGCCAAGGCCCTCGGCGCGGAGACGGGCGCGCGGGCCATCCTCGCCTGCCGCGACGCGACGAAGCAGGACGCGCGCGTCGCCGCGCTCTCCGACGCGACCGCGCGGCTCGAGCTCGCGGCGCGGCGCGGCCGCGACGCGATGCCGCGGCCGGGCGCGGAGAGCGGCGGCGACGCCGTCTTCGTGCGGTTGGACGCGTCCGGGGCGCTGGAGGAGGCCCAGCTCGTGAGCTCCCTCGGCGAGACGTGGCACGTGCGGCGCTTCGGCGACACCGTGTCGTCGAGCTCGGACGCGATCAAGGTGCCGAAGCGCCGCGTGAAGCTCCGGGGCTACCGCGAGCGGCGCGTGCTCGAGCCCGGCGACGCCGTCGACGTGCGGCGGAGCGACGCGGACTACGGCAGCGGCGAGGAGGGCCTCGCGCGGAGCGCGTCCCTCGACTCGCTCGGCGACGACGCGCGCGCGGCGCCGGCGCGGCTCGCGCAGGGCTGGGTCAAGGCGCGGTTGGGCGGCGACTCCTACGCCGTCTTCATGGAGGCGAGCGACGACGACGTCTACTACGGCACGCGCGAGGACGGCGCCAAGGAGCTCGAGGGCGTCTTCGACCGGGCCGACATCTTCGCGGCGTTCGACGAGCCGCACGTCGCGGACGAGGCCGTGCGCGACGAGTACGCGGCGGCCTGGGCGTCGGGTCTGGCGGCCCTCGCGGCCCACGACGGCGCGGCGGCCGAGGCCTGCCGGTTGGGCCTCGCGGCGGACCGCCGCGTGGCCCTCGCGTCGCCGCGGAAGCGCGCGGCGCCGCGGAGCGGCGGCGAGCTCGAGCCCGCGGCCGAGGAGACGCGCGAGGAGGACTGGCGCGTCGACGCGCTCGACGGCGTGTTGGAGGCCTGCCGCGGCGCCTTCCGGTCCGCGCTCGCCGCGTCGCCGGAGGCGCTCGTCGTGGACTACTGGCGCGCGGACGGCCGCGACGCGTCGCCGAGCGACCGCATCGCCAAGGTCGCCGCGGTGCTCCAGCGGCAGCTGCTGCTCGAGTCGCAGCCGTCGCTGGACCGGGGCCCCGTGCTCGAGCTCGAGAGCGTCGCGCGCGTCGACCCGGACCCCCGCGTGGCCCGCGGCTTCGCCAGGGCGCTCAGCCGGTGCCGCAACCGCCACCGGCCGGACGCGGCCAAGACCGAGGAGACGCGGCGGACGCCGCAGCAGGACGCGGTGCTGCGGACGCTCGAGGCGCGGAAGACGGGGCTCGCGGGCGCGTCTTTAGCCGAGGGCTGGGACGACGGCGTCACGGTCTTCCACGGCGGCGAGCCGTCGAAGCTCCGGGCCGTCATGGACGACGGCTTCCGCGACGCGCGGTCGCGGCCCTACGAGGCGTCGCTGCCGCCCGGGCGGCTCAAGCTGAGCCTGCGGCGCTGCGCCGTCGTCGGCGACGGGGCGGCGAGGCTCGAGGACGTCGCCGTGTCCCTGACGTCGTCGATGAACGCGGGCACGGACGACGCGGCGCCCGAGGACGCGGGCGGCCGCGACGACGACGACGTCGCGGACGCGGCGACCGTGCTCCAGGGCATGGGCCTCGTGCCGAAGCGGCCCTTCGCGAAGCTCGCCGCGACGATCTCCCTGCCCGTGGCGTCCGGCGCGCTGCGCGTGGATTTGACCGTGAAGCCGACGCACTGCTTCAAGGCGCACGGCAGCGACCGCTTGCATTTCAAGGAGACGACGATCACGGTGCCCGTCTACAGCTGCGCGCCCGACGGCCTCCAGGTGAACCCCGTCGACGGGGCGGCGATCCTGCCCTTCTGCGTCGACGTGCCCCTGGAACTGGCGTCGGGCGAGGAGGTCGACGACGTCGACCAGGGTGAGGGGCAGGGCGCGACGACGCCCGCGTCCGTGTCGCCGCGCGACGGCGCGGGCCACGTCGCGGGCCTGCGGAGCTCCTTCCACGGTCTCGCGGAGACCAAGGCGGCGGACCTCTACGTGCGCCTCGAGGGCGTGGCGACCATGCACTACGACATCCCCCCGGCGGACTACGAGAAATCCGCGCGCGGCGGCCGGCGGACCTGGGGCAAGCACTACGGCCGCGGCCACTACACGTCGACGGAGCCGG